CAAACTTTTGGCACTTTAAAGATGTTTCATTTTTTTCCTGCATTATTTGTGATGATAAACTCAGATGTCATCCTATTGTTATTCTTTCTTATTTAATGCACTTTTTTTCCCACTGGCTGCTTCAAGATTTTCTTTTTATTTTTTTTTTTGGTTTTAGCAGTTTGACTATGATGTTCCTAAATATTTATATTTATCCCATTTTGGATTTCCTTCACCTTTGGGCCTGTGTTTCATTGTTCTTTATCAAATTTAGGAAATTTTTGGCCAATACTTTTTCAAAAAAAACCTTTGTGCTGCAATTTCTCTTTTTCTTCTGAGATACCAATTATATGTTCTTAGAATATTTGATATCATCTCATGGATTTCTCATACTGTATTTAGGTTTTGTTCTATTTTCTTTCTGTTCTTCAGTTTGGATAATTTTTATTTATCTGATTTTATGTTTATTATGCCATTTCAAGTCTTCTCTTAAACCCATATAAATGTTTCATTTCATAAAATTTCAGTTTTTAGTTCCATAATATCCATTTGATTACTTTTTTGTTTCCATTTCTTTCCTGAGATTTCCTGTTGGTTAACTCAGTAAGATCATCTCCTACTTTAAGTCATTAACCATTATGATAGCTTTTTAAAATTCCCTTTTTTTAAAACTTTTATTTTAGTTTAGTTTTTACATTAGCATTTAGTCCCCTTATACTCCCTACCCCCAGGAATCACCGCCCCATTATCCATGTCCATGAGCCTTTTCCTTTTCTGCTCAATCCCTCTACCCCTTATCCTCCCTCCATCAGCTAGCTGTCATCCTGCTTTCCATGTGTGAGTCTGTCCCCACTTTCCTTGTTAGTTCAGTTTGTTCATTAGATTCCACATATGAGTGAAATCATATAGTATTTGTCTTTCTGTGATTGGCTTATTTCACTTACCATAATTTTCTCCAGGTCCATCTACACTGTCACAAATTGTAAAACCTACAGCCAAGTAGTAGTCCATTGTGTAAATGTCCCACAGTTGTTTTATCCGTTCATTTACTGATGGACGCTTGAGCTGCTTCCATATCTTGGTGATTGTAAATAACGCTGCAGTGAACATAGGGATGCTTATGTTCTTTTGAATTAGTGTTTTATGTTCTTTGGATATATTCCCAGAAGTGGGATTGCTTTTATGATAATTTCCACAAGTAGACAGTATTGGGATCCAATGCTGTTGGAGTGGGATCAGAGTCAAACACAGGGCTTCATTTTCTAATCTGACTGATCAGTTGCAAATATTCAGTATACTATTCTTACACCTTTTTTTGTAATATATTTTACTCATTATGCTATTACAGCTGTCCCATTTCCCCCTTCACTCGCCTCCACCCTGTACACCCTCTCCCACCCACATCCCCCCCTTTAGTCATGTCCATGTGTCATAAGTTCTTTAGCTTCTACATTTCCCATACTATTCTTACCCTCCCCCTATCTATTTTCAACCTACATTCTATGCTACTTATTCTCTGTACCTTTTCCCCCTCTCTCCTCCTCCCACTCCCCTGTTGCTAACCCTCCATGTGATCTCCATTTCTGTGGTTCTGTTCCTGTTCTAGTTTGCTTAGTTTCTTTTGGTTTTGCTTTAGGTGTGGTTGTTAATAATTGTGAGCTTGCTGTCCTTTTACTATGCAATTTTTTTTTTAATCTTTTCTTAGATAAGTCCCTTTAACATTTCATAAAATAAGGGCTTGGTGATGATGAACTCCTTTAACTTGACCTTATCTGAGAAGCACTTTATCTTCCCTTCCATTCTAAATGAAAGCTTTGCTGGATAGAGTAATCTGGGATATAGGCCCTTGTCTTTCATGACTTGGAATACTTCTTCCAGTTCCTTCTTGCCTGTAAAGTCTCTTTTGAGAAATCAGCTGACAGTCTGATGGGACCTGCTTTGTAGGTAACTGTCCCCTTATCTCTTGCTGCTTCTAGGATTCTCTCCTTCATTTTTATCTTGGCTAATGTAATTATGATGTGCCTTGGTGTGTTTCTTCTTGGGTCCAACTTCTTTGGGACTCTCTGAGCTTCCTGGACTTCCTGGAAGTCTATTTCCTTTGCCAGATTGGGGAAGTTCTCCTTTATTATTTGTTCAAATACATGTTCAATCTGTTGCTTTTCCTCTTCCTCTTCTGGTACCACTATAATTCAGATGTTAGAACGTTTTAAAGATGTTGGAGGTTCCTAAGCTTCTCCTCATTTTTTTTGAATTCTCATTTCTCCATTCTTTCCTGTTTGGTTGTTTTTTTCTTCCTTCTGGTCTACTCTATTGTTTTGAGTGCCAGTTTCCTTCCCATCACTATTGGTTCCCTGTGCATTTTCCTTCATTTCTTTTATGGTAACCTGCATTTTTTCATCTAATTTGTGCCCAAAATCAACCAATTCTGTGAGCTTCCTGATCACCAGTGTTTTGAACTGTGCATCTGATAGATTGGCTATCTCTCAGTCGCTTAAAATGATGAGTCCTAGGACATTGATCTGTTCTTCTGTTTGAGACATGTCTCTCTCTCTCTCTCTCTCTTTTTTGGGGGGGGTCTGGTCTCTCCTGTTATGGTGAGGGCTGGAGCCTTAGGCATTCACCGGGGCTGGGCACCCCAGTCGCTAGATTGTGATGTTGTATGTGGGGACGGGGGCAGGGGTGGAGGTGGGGGCAGGAAGGAACAATGGTGGTAGCTCAGTTCTCCTGGGACCTCAGTCCCTTCTCTGGGATCCTGGGTTGCGCACTCTGTCCTGCTCCACAATCGCCGCCTCACTGGGTCCGCCAGCTGCCACTTGCGTACTCAGGATCCACCCGCTGCGATCTTGCATGCCCCAGATGCCTTACGGGCCCTCGGTTGCCTTGCATGCCCAATTCTCTCTGCTCTCCTTGCCCTGACCCACGCGGACTGCTTGTCTCCGCCCCTTCTACCGGTCTGGATGAACGGGTCTACTTCAACTTCTTGGCTGTCCTTCTTCCATTCAGATAAATTCTCTGTCAGTTCTGGGTGTTATTCTGCCTCTAAATTGTTGTTGTTCCAATCTTGGTTGTGTGTGGAGGTATGGTGCGTCCACCTATGCCTCCATCTTGGCCGGAAGTCCTGCCTTTTTAATGTTTAAGATATTTAATAATTGATATTAAAATCATTTCACAGAGGGAAATAAAGAAGTTATAACATGTATAAAAGAACCATTTTGTTTGTAGGGGAGATACTCCCAAAAAAGAGAAGAAAGTTACCTGTGAGCATTTTACAGTATAGAAGAATTTAAGAACACAAATCCCATAAAGCAATAGGATACATTTGAGGATATAAAATATCAGTATGATATTGGAAATAGGTATTGAGCTATGAAAACAGCAGAGATATAAAACAACACCTGTATGAGCTCAGGAAGTAGAGGAAAGAGCTGAAAATTGAGTTACTAATGTTAAGGAAAGGCTTGAGATGATTGTTTCAATATGCAGAAGAATGGATATAGAGGACAGAAAATGATAATTTGTCATAGAGAAATTGGGATCCATGACTTAGGAACTTAATAAATGAAATTCTATTTCATTGAATTGTCTTAGCACCTATGTCAAAATTCAGTTGCCCATTAATGTAGAGGTTTATTTCTGTACTCTTAGTTTCTTTCCATTGCTCCATTTATCTATCATTATGCTCATACCATAGTGCCTCAGTTACTGTTTCTTTGTAGTAAGTTTTGAATTCAGGAAGTGTGAGTCCTCCCACCATGTACCTCTTTTTCGGTGTTGTTTTGGCTATTCTGGGTCTCTTGCATATACATATTAATTATAGGATGAGTCTATTCCTTTCTGCAAATATAAGGCCACTAGAATATTAAAAGAGGTTACATAGATCTATAGGTCAGTTTGGGAAGCATTGCTATATTAACATTAATAAGTTTTCTAATCCATCAGAATGGACGGCATTCCATTTATTTAGATTAAATTTCTTTTAGTGATGTTTGTAGTTTTCAGTATAGAAATTTTATACTTTTTTTGTTAAGTTTATTTCTTTTATATTGATGTTAATGGAATTGTTTTCTTAGTTTTATTTTTGATTGTGTATTATTGCTACGGTATAAAAACACAATTGAATATTGATCTTATATCTTGTATTTTTTAATTTGTATTTATTTTAATTTTATTTTAATCATTATTCAAGGACATTTTTCTGTCCTTTACTCCCATTCCAACCCACCCACCCATTTCTCCCCACCTCCCTCCCATTTCCACCCCCCCAGCTTTTGTCCATGTGTCTTTTATACTTGTTCCTGTAAACCCTTCCCATTCTCCCCTGAAATTCCCTCCCCTCTCCTCTCTGAACTCATTTATTACTCCTAATAGTTTTTTTGTGGGTTACTTAGGATTTTCTACATATAAGGTTGTTATATTGAATAGGTATGCTTTCACTTTTTCCTTCCAGTGTGTCTTACCTATAATAAGTGTTTTTTTTGTGTGTGTATATTATGAAAATTGATAGCCATATGCTTATACTGCGTCTATTTGTTGAATGATTTGAAGAAAATTATAACTTAAAAATATTGGTCATTCTTAAGGATGCAATTTTTCATCTTAGATTTTCAGTGTTTTTATATGTAAGATTAATCAATCTCTAAAATCTGTAGTTCATGTTAATATATTTATTGCTGAAACATGATACAAAGAAATCATTAGGGCTTTTTGAATGTTAAGCTAAGTTACAAGCTTCTATACTTCTAGACCTTCAGTCCAGTAACCCTTGTATTACCTTATAATGTTTAAATGAGAGAAGAAAGAAAACAATTTATTATTAAATTCCCAGTTGGGTTCATTATTGGTTAAGTCAGATTTGTAAGTAACAGACATAGGACTTGGTTCATATTATTATTTAGATGTTTCTGACACATTTAGCAAATATTTACTATCAAAATACATTAATTTCATGTGTCTTTAGAAATTGTTTTATGTTTAGTTTTTCTTAGCATTGATAATGAAAATTTTGCTTTTTATAATGCTAGGTATAACCCGGAAAAACCCCAGAACACCTCTTTCTGACCTCCAGGGCATGAATACCTTAAATGACAAAAACCAGCAGTAAGTATGTTTGGATTATGTTTTCAAGTGGGTATGAAAGAAATAATGAATTCTTATAAATACTTCTGTAGCTTAAAAAATATAAAGAAAAACAGGTCTAGTTTGCTTTATAGTTCTTAAAGGTTTTATAAATGATACTGTAAATTAATAAGGTTAGAGTTAACAAAACTATTAGGACTAAATTATTTAAGATTACCTCTGGTAAAATGGTTTTACAATTAAAAGCAAGTTTTTCCAGAATACTTTAAAATGACTACATATGTTTTAATTTCTGAGACCCTTCTTGTATTCTATGTCTGGTTATTCTGCTGCTCTCTGTGGAGAATCTTATTGGTAAGTAAGTATCGAGTAGTTTGACTTACACCAAACCACTGAATACCTTTTCTTGGTGAGTGTGATAACCAAAGTTTATCTTTTAATCAATTTTAATGAATTCCTGAGTAAAATTTGAAAATAAAATAATTTTCTCAGTTTATAAATAATGTCCTTTGTTCTTGCCACATATTCTTTTATAAAGAGTATTGTTTATGTGAGTAAAAGATCAGTTTTTAGTGTCTAGAATCTGCTTTCTATGTTTAATCATCACGTGCATTGAGCTTTTTGGTACCTTGGTGATAAGGATGGTCTCTCATTAAAATTAAAGGATAATTTTATTGATTGTTTTTCTAATTTGTGTTACTATATTTTCCCTTTAAAATTTTTTTAAAATTATATTTTATTGATTATGCTATTGCAGTTGTCCCAGTTTTTTCCCTTTTGTCCCCCCACCGGACCCAGCACCCTGTACTCCCTCAGGCAATCCTCCCACCATTACTCATGTCCATGGGTCATGCATATAAGTTCTTTGGCTATTCCATTTCCTATACTATACTTTATGTCCCCATGGCTATGCTGTAACTACCTATTTGTACTGTTTAATGCCCTCACCTCTTCACCCATTCCCCCACACCCTCCTCCCATATAGCAGCCAACAAAATGCTCTTTGTATCCATGATTCAGTTTCTGTTCTTGTTTGCTTAGTCAATTGTTGATAGATTTGCATTTTTGCTATTTTCTTTTTCATAGTTTTAACCTCCTTTCTTTTAAATAAGTCCCATTAACATTTCATATAATAATGATTTGGTGATGATGAACTCCTTTAGTTTTTTCTTATCTGGGAAGCTCTTTATCTGCCCTTCCATGATAATGATAGCTTTGCTGAATAGAGCAATTTTGGCTGTTCCCTGCTTTTCGTGACTTTGAATAATTATTGCCAAACCCTTCTAGCCTAGAAAGTTTCTTTTGAGAAATCAGCTGACAGTCTAATGGGACCTCCCCTGTAGGTAATTAACAGGTTTTCTTTCCCTGCTTTTAAGACTTTCTCTCTATATATAACCTTTGGCTTTTTAATTATATGTCTTGGAGTGGGCCTCTTCAGATTCATCTTGTTTGGGACTCTCTGTGCTTCCTGTATCTGTATGTCTATTTTCTTTATCAAATTGCAATAGTTTTCTTTCATTATTTTTCCAAATAGATTTCCAGTTTCTTGCTCTTTCTCTTCTTCTTCTGGCACCCCTATGATGTGAATGTTTTTACACTTGAAGTTGTCCCAGAGGCTATTTACACTATCCTCAGTATTTTTGGATTTCTTTTTTCTTGTTGTTCTAATTAGTTGTTTTTTTGCTTCCTTATGTTCCAAATCATCTATTTGATTCTCAGCTTCATCTATTCTATTGTTGTTTCCCTGTAAATTGTTCTTTATTCCAATTAGTGTACCCTTCGTTTCTGACTGGATCTTTTTTTTATGCTGCTGAGCTCCTCACTAAGTTTTCTGAGCATCCTTATAACCAGTTTTTGAACTCTGCATCTGATGGATTGTTCATCTCCATTTTATATAGGTCTTTTTCTGGAGTTTTGTTCTGTTCTTTTATTTGGGCCATGTTTCTTCGTTTCCTCATTTTGGCAGCCCCCCCGTATTTATTTCTATGTGTTAGGTAGATCTGCTGTGACTCTGTGTCTTGGCAGTATGGCCTAATGTAGTAAGTGTCCTGTAGGATCCAGTGGCACAGCTTCCCCTATCACCCAAGCTGGGTACTTGAGGTGCATCCTTTTGTGCATTGAATACATCCTCCTCTTGTAGTTGATCCTTGGTTGCTGTTGACAGATCAATGGGAGGGATTTACTAGGGCCAGTTTTTTCTTGCCTGGGAAACTCTTTATCTGCCTTCAGTTCTAAATGACATCTTTGCTGGGTAGAGCCTTCTTGGCTGTAGATCCCTGCTTTTCATGAATTTGAATATTTCTTGACAATCACTTCTGCAAGGATTGGCTATGACCACTTACCACCAACCTCTACTCTTCATGAAGGATCAGCTGTTCAGGGACAGGGTGGTGGTGTTCCAGTGTGGTCTATAGCTGTCCACTGGGTGCTCTGGCACTGGGTTTTCCTCGTGATGCAGGCCAAGGTCAGCCCCAACCTGTGTTTGGCTAGGGGCCACCCTTCCTGAGCTGTAAAGCAATCTGAAGTGGTTGCTCCTTGTGCAGGGTTTGGAGATTCTCAGGCAAAGCCAAGCTGTGAGTCTAAGCTGGCTGCTGCTAGTGCCAGTCCTGGCACAGTCCTTCACTGATGGGCTCACTGAAACCACCTAGGGCTTGCTTGATAGGATTTAGGAAGTTGTGAAGCTTGAGCTGAGATCCACCATTCATATGGAAAAGCAGCTTGGGTGGGCCCATCATTTGGGTGGGGAGTCCTGTCTGAGGATATCCAAGGCCTGTCAAACAGTGTTAGCCAGGTTGATGGAGTCTCAGATATGGTACCAGCTTGTTGGCTCTTTGGTTCTCTGGGGAGAAATTTTAGAAAAGGGACAATGGCCTCTGCTGGCCTTAATGCCAGATACTTCAGTTTCTCCCTGTATGTCACTGGTACCTTTCAAACTGTTACTCTGCTGCTAGAGCTCAAAGGGAGAGAATCAGAGTAGGTGAGTCTGTGTTTGTGTTAAACTTTAAGAGGAACTCCTTAGGGCTCCAGCAGTTTCTTCCACTGACTCAATCCCTGGTGGTTTTTGCAGTCAGAAGTTGTGGGAGCTTACCTTCCTGGCCCTAAAACCTTGGGCTGTGGGACCTGGTGTGAAGCTGGGGCTCTTCACTCCTGAAATATCCCTCCTGAATTTGTATCCAACACACGTGGTTGTGGGACCAGCCTGTTCTGCGCCTCTATCCCTCCTACTAGTATGGCTAGATGTGGTTGTTTTAGTTCTGTTATTGTCAGACTTTCACTCAATTCGATTTCTGATGGTTCTGAGTGAGGGTTGTTCTGTATTTCAGTTGTCATTTTGATGTGGTTGGGCAAAGTGTTTAGCCAAAGTGTTCTGTCTTCACTGCCACCTTGACCGGAAGTCCTGTATGTTACTATATTTTTCTAATGTATATTGTCACTTCCTTGCTCAATAACTTTTTTATAACTCTTTGTTGCTTGTTTAAAGACATCTAGGTTCACCCATCTCACATGCAAGACCAGTTACAGCCCAAGTATCCAATCTCAACTCTTTTATCATAAGTGCCACCAAATTGAACTACTTGCTCTCTTTATAGTGTATGCATTTTCTTAACAGTGATACTTGACTAACGATGAAATTCATCCTATATTTTTGTGTTATATTTTACCCAAGAACAAATTAGATCATTAATCTGGTGACCTGTGTACCTTCAGTGCAGTCTGTTGGCAGTCTATTGATAGACAAACTGTGCAGTGTTGGTTCTAGACTACTGCAATAAAGCAAATATCATAATAAAGTGAGTCACATACATTTTTTGATCTTCCAGTGCATATAAAAGTTATGTTTAGCTCTGGCTGGTGTGGCTCAGTGGATTGAGTGCTGGCCTGCAAACCAAAGTGTTGCTGGTTTGATTCCCAGTCAGGGCACATGCCTGGGTTGTAGGCCAGGTCCCCAGGTCTTGCCAGCTGGGCTCATGAGAGGTAACCACACAGTGATGTTTCTCTCCCTTTCTTTCTCTCTCCCTTTCCTAAAAGTAAATAAATAAAAATCTTTTTAAAAAGTTGTGTTTACACTATGCTTAGTCTATTCAGTGTTCAGTAACATTACTTCTAAAAAAACAATGCACATACCTTAATTTAAAGTTTGCTTTATTGCTAAAACATGCTAACCATCATCTGAACTTTTAGTGAGTCATGATCTTTTTGCTGGTGGAGGGACTTACCTTCAGTTTGTTAAAAATGTAATATTTGTGAAGTGCAGTAAAATGAAGCACAATGAAATGAGGTATGCTTGTATTTTCACCATGGTCATTAGAGATCCTTAAGTTAAGGAACCTATTTTTTTTTTATTTGGTTTAAAAAACAAAAGGATAGTATGACGTAATCCATTTCCCAAAGCAATTTAATGGTTATGATTCTCTTAAGTCCTAGCTTGTGTCTTTTTTATGCTTTATATTTTGGATACCTGAAGTGATCTATATAGGCTTCCTGTGTTTTATACAAAGTTGGAATAGTCTAATATGAGTATTTTGGTTTAAGATTGATTATGTTGAAAAGGATAGCTAGCAGCCTTAATGAGATACATCTCATTACATCTTCCAGATGTATTTATTGTATTCACGAATTTATTTTATACATATTTTAGAGAAAATTGGTGAGAAGGGGAAGAGAATAGGATATTAGATACTTATAAGATCAGATCATCCATGAAGTCATTAGATTATGTCTATCAAGTGAAGTCTTTTGGATCTTCCCTATATAATTCTCCTCATAAGTGACTCTTAAATAATAAAAGAATGGAGTGTCTAGTTTGGTGGAGATCTAGAACTAATAATTGATGTAGTCCATACAAAAACAATGACATGCAAATAGTAAAACTATTTGCACTAGTTAGTGCAAATATTCCTCAGGTGAGAGAGAAAACTTTCATTAATGTTGAGAGGGCAGGGTTTTTCTTTTTTTGGCAGAGTATAAACTGAAAGCAAATGTATATATATCAAAGTAGGATTTGATAAAAAGTACAGAGC